TAGAGATTCTTATGGTATACATCTCTTGGCGGATCGCCACTGCGACTCCGCATCCTTCCCTTGTTAGTTGGCCGTTATTCGCTACTATACAGTGATTAGAGCACAAGAGTATGTCACATTTACAAATAAAATTGCGCTGGAAATCGCTTGTTACCTATAACTTCTGCTGAACGCTGAATTGCTTTGCTGATCAAAACCTTGCACTGGCCAATTTTTTCTCGAGATGCAATTTCCCACAACTTCAAATCCTTTTTTTGGTGTTTTCCCACATCGATGGCCTTACAAATACTCTGCTCCATTGGTGTCAATGTTTAAGAAGTTACAAAGGTACAAAGGAAAGGAGGTCGTACTCTCACACTACATTTCGGGGGCATTATTCCAAATAACACCTGTAAACTAGGGGTGCGAAGCTCAGCACTCTCCCTCAATCTTTGGTTTTGGAAAAAAGACGATGGTTTTGAGTGAGGCGGGAACAGTGCGTGATACTACCAGAGCATGGCTCCATTAAAACACCAAAAGCGATCTATCAGTACGTATGGTGGTCTCTCTCAGGGATATATCAGAAATTTATTCGCCAGCTGGGATGATGTTGGGATGAGTGCAAAGCGGAAAAACCGATACAGTGGTTTTGAAAACCAATGTCGGCGTCAGTCGGAGTGGAATTGAGATGGGAGGAGCACGATCCACTCATTCGCAGTCTTCACAAATGAGGGAATGAATAAAAACCTTGGTTAGTCCGGAATGATTGATGCGCACGGAATCGACTTCATCTAACATTGTAGAGATGATTTGGTTTATATAGGTAGTATGTCTACACAATGATTTGCGGTGGTCAGCCGATGTTAAAGTCATGCGTGTTCCTTTGCCAATATTTAGGGCCAATATCTAGTACCCCTACCCTTTGTCAAAAACGAAATATTTATTGAAGGGGAACTTGAGAAAGTGTCGTGTAAAAAATCTGTATCCGTCGCAGAGCCGTTGGGGTGAGTGTAAAGAGAGAAAGGCCAGTAGACTATCTTTCGCAACGCATCGCTGGCAGCTATTGGTGCGAAGGGCAAGACTCGGTTAAAAGCGCTTAAAGCTTCTGCGTGGGAGGCATAACGTCTTGCTCAGGTTCAAGAAATTGACACCGTCAAATGGTATAGAGTTGTAATAGGAATAAAGCGGAAAAAAAGGCCGATATATAACTGAGCGCATGGTTAGCTCAGAACATAAAGTTGAAGAAGGCGTGGAGCGGGAAACAGGATAAAATTCTTAAAGAGCCGGCGGCAGGGTCTTGGTGGGTGAAAAGTATGGCTCCTTGAATGCACCAAAAGCCTTTGTGTGAACGCATGAGGTCTCTCTTAGGTATAACAATTTACATCTGCAGCAGAGCATGAGGTTGGGGAAGGGGGAGGGGAGGGGGAATGAAGCAGGAACAGAGGCTGATATAACACTCTTTGATGCGCATGGCCGTCGGCAGGGAGTGGGTACAAAGGGCAGGCTCTGTTAAAAGCGGCAGAAGCAAGTACGGGGAAAGTGTCTGCCTTTGGTAGCTGTTCATTGCCTATGCGCACAAAAAGAACTATTTAGGTGGACTACTAGAAATGCATATCTGATTCTCTCTCGCCCTTATGGAGCAGGCAAGTGAAAGTGTTGGTCAGAGGTGGATATTTACTAATAAACATTATGAAGAGTACAAAAACATTTTATTGGAAGTTTAAGATCCTATTGTCCTCCTTTACCACTCTCGTAAAGGCGAATTTCAGCCTGCCCTTTAAACGCCTAGCCCTGAACTAAAAGCACTATATTCTAAATGTTTCGAGTGAGATCATTTGGAAAAGTTGCTATCGTCATTACTGGTTTGTAGCAATGGCTGCTAAGTGGTGAGCTTTCGCTGAACGACCGTTGCTTTGATGAATCAAGAAAC